AATTTCCTAAGAGGGAATATAATCATTTATATTGTTAGACAGAGATGCAGAAGAGCTCAGAAAGAAAAGGGCAATTGACTGAGGAATTATATAGCCTGATTTTTTTTCATTTAGGAGAAAAATAAATCCAAATGCAAAATAAAATAAATAAATATCCTGCTATTTGAGTTTATTTCTTCTCACCTGGCTTTTGCTGTTACTATAAGAAAACTTAAACTGAAAAAGAATTGATATAACCACCTTATCACATATCCAGCTACATATCTCTTTCACTCTGAAAATTATATAGCTCATCTATCACATTAAACTAGATTAAAGGGAAGACATAGATTTGGAAAAATGATTTTATTATCATCCAGCAGTTTACTTTGACTTTAATTGGCACTAATGTATTCACATATGCAATGTATCTTTGAAAAGTTCTCAAGTTACCACCATTTAGATGTCAAACCATTATTCCAAATGAAGTTGGAACAAATGATATTTGAGGTTAAGTAAGTCCACAATCTGGCAACTCTATGGAGATGTTCAAATACATATTCCATAAACACAGAACAGTGGAAATTAAAGTGCAATACATTCAAAAGTTGAATTTGAAGGAAAGGTTGTACGAGGCTTATAGAATACAAATCACAAACTGTTGACTTGTAGGTCTCCTATAAAGATATTACCAGGTATAACTTAGCATAATATTTCAACAATATTTGAATTAGAAGTTTCTATATCATCTAGACAATGGGATACTATCTTAACCTTTATAGCATGGATATCAATGGACCTTAAACTACAACTCATACAACTAAAAATAATATTTATAATTTATTGGATTCCATTACTTTTGAACAGAAAGGGATTGTCTAAGATAGCATTTTGAGGAGATGTAATGAGGACAATGTTTCTTAAAAAGATGTGTTTTTGCAATGTCCTATACTTACTAACTTTTGAAAAAGAAAGAAACATAGTTGTGTGACAAAAGCTAAAAGTTTCAGATGATAATATTCTTGTGAACTATATACCTCATACTTGAAATTTGATAACCAAACAACATTCGATTCTCCATTTCCTCACTATGGCTAAAAGACAGATTTTGCAACATTGGAAAGATAAAATGTATGGTCCCATTTATTTAGTGGATTGAACACCTGATTACATTTGCCACATATGAATGCATTGCCTATAGATGTAGATTTTATATGAATAAACATAATGAAAAATGGGACTCATTTATACAAAGTATAAGTAGGTTAAAGAAAACAATAAGATATATTACTTATCTAATGTGTGTGTGTATATATATATATATATCTGTTGTAATTTTCTCACTTATTTTTAAGCACTTGTGTTTTTTCTTTCTTTTTGACAATGTATATATAGCTGGTGTTTTTTCCTGTTAATATTTTAAAAGCAATAAAAATAAATTAAAAAACAACATTTACCCAGTTTCTCCTTCCTTAATTCTTCTGTCTGGGTACATGTTTTGTATATAACTGTTGTTAGCCAGCCACCAGACATCAAAATCAGAGTGGTCATTTGCTCCAATAAAAACTCTACATGGGATGGTGAGTGGAGAACCTGTTTTGAAATGAAGTACAGAGTTAGGGAAAATAAATAGATATACAACAGGGAATATATGTCCACAGGAACAAATCATCCCAACTTTGAATTTTTAAGATATTTTCAGAAAATCATTCTTCTTTTAGCAACCAGGATTAAGTAGCTATGAGGGTTTAATTTCACCATACTCACTGTTTTTTGTTTATTTTTTATTAGTCCATGTATTAGCCAAGTATGTACCAGAGAGTACTGATTCTAGCCAGAGAAGTAAATAGTTCGGTGATTAATTGCTTTCAGACAGACAGCACAGTTTGCAATTCTCATGCAGTTACTCTGAAATACTGTAGTCCTATTGGCTTTCAAATAGTTATGATTTGCAAGTAGGAATCCACTTTAGTAACTTCAAGTATGGAATTGGACAAGTACGCCAGTCAAACAGTTTCAACTAATCAGGAAACCAATGTAAGCCTTTGATTTTCATTTCACCAAAGTATAGGGCATGTTCAAAGACCCAGCCTAAAGCCTTCAGGGGGAATAGGGATAATATTGCAGACTGTTCGTGACCAGCTGATATAAGTGCAACATCTCCCGCCCAAAAAAATACCAAAATATGAACAATCATCATTACCAAATGTTGTTGACCATTTGGCATTTGGGGATGGATAATTTGGCCACATTAGTGCAGGCAAGTTTGCTCCCTCCCCCACCTCTGAAGTGAGGGAAAGTGAGCTTAAAACTGCTTTCCTTTTAGCAGTTCTAATCAAGGTGACTAATAATATCTATTTAACATTTGGTGTTTTTTTTCCTTTTTTCCTTTTTTTGTACACCATTTTTTTCTTATTGTTAGTGTGGGATGTTCATTTTTCTGTTTTGTATTTTATTCTTGTTGATAAAAGAAAACAAATATGTAAAAAGGTGACTAATATTGATCATCATACCATAATGCCTGATAGGAAGGATGATTTACAGCACTTGACTTATGACTATTCATGACTCCATGTTATGTATTGTATGCACCATGGAGCATCAGTATTTTTAGCTAACTCATTTTATGCCCAATTTAGAGTTTAATTTAGTTTTACAACTGGCTTATTTTTTTGTAAATAAACAATATTTTACTGTCACATTACTGTTTGTAAAATATTTATAGAACTTATTACTCTCTACAGATTCTTCAGACCAGCACTGAAATCAAGATAATTAAAGTATGCTGGTAATATCATTGAGATTTGAACAATTTATTTAGTGTTACAGTGCTTACCCAGTATATACCCAGAATTAAGAAAGTTTCAAAGTTATTTAACTAATCACTCCTTGAACTAGCAATACCACACCCCTCAACCACATTCCTCTTGAGTCATACTTCCATTCCAAGAGTCCAGAACATGTGAGTCAATGCAGTTATTTTGTGCCTTTGTCTTATTCCTGCAGAGCAATCTGCTGGGACATACTCAATCCGTTCATAAATTAAGTTCTTTATTAGGGTTATTATCTAGCCAGCTTGGTCTGATTCTTGAAAACCAGTTGTTAAATTTCTGCTCATCCTTCAAGGAAGAGACAGAGATCCAGCAGGCCAAGTTGAGCAGAGATCTCATGTTTTTCAGCAGCAAGTCCAGACTATTTTTTTTCACGCACTCATTCCTGAACCTCAATGAGGCACTTGTTAAGCTAGGCTCTGTTGCTATTAGGGCTACTTCAGTTCCTTGCTGGAGCAAGATCCAGGACAAACATACAATGGGCTAGCCAACTGAAGGAGAAGGAGAAGAAACCAGACCAGATCACATGCATCGTGTGGCATTTCTACCTTCCTTCCGATAGTCACAGAATCAAATTCTCCCTTTCCTGTTCATGGTTTCGGGCAGAACTATGCACAAAATATTGCATTATGCAGATTGATTTCACTGTTTTCTCCCTTTGTATATCTTTGCCATAAAAGCAGCACAAGAAAAAAGAAGTGGTGGAAACTCTTCTTCCAATTCTCCCAAGGTTATAGCCTTGGGCGATCACTGCAAAGAATCCAGGAACTGGCATCAAACACCTGACTTGAATGCTTCCAAATAATTATAGCTTTCATCATGAAACCTAACCAGCTAAACAGCAGCTTCCCACCAAATTTTGGGAAAACCTTGATAGGGTCAGGGCTATCATTGGTATTAGAATAGAAGGCCATAAAAAATCCTTAGGCTGTTGCAAGACCAGAATGTTAAAAAAAACTTCCCACAAGAAAGTATGCATTGGTAAATCACATCTTCATTGTTCCTAAGAAACAGATGGAAGTGTCCGTGAAGTCAACAAGAGTTTGACTCATTTACATTTTAGAAATTGATTTAAGGTTTCAATTCATTCAACATTTTGGAGTTTTGGTTTTTTAAAAAAATTGATACCTACTGTAAAGTCTTCTTTACAGTAATTTGAAAGTTGTTGGTAAGCAGGTAATTGGCCTGTAGTTGCTTGGTGTTGCCCCTTTTGCTGGATTTTTCATTATTAGGTAGGTTTTCCAAGTTGTTAGCCACTTTTCAATTTCTCCTCCTTGTAGTATATTGTTGAACTGCTTGACAATGAGTGGGTATATAACAGTTAGATGTTTCAACCAAAACCCATGCAGTTCATCTTCACCTGGTGCTGACCAATTTTTGATCTTCCTTGCTCTTTTTTCTACCATTTCTGTTGTTATTACTAGTTCTTTCATTTCAACTTCTGTTTTATTTGGATCCACCTCTTTTAACCAAGCCGCATCCTTGTTGTATTTCTTTGGATTATCCCATATCTGGTTCAAGGACTGCACTGTTTCTTCCTTGTCAGGTACTGACTGATTCATTGCAGTTTCTCCATTGATGGATTGGTAGAAACGTTTCTGATTGGATTGAAATTGGAGGTTCTGCCTATAATTTGCCATTCGAGCTTCGTATCTACTGAGTTTCCTGGCTATAGCTGTTATTTGCTGCTTTATTATTTCCAGTGCTTCCTTGATCTTCCTTGTTTCTAAGTGGTATTTCTTGATTAGGTATTCTTTGGTCTTCTTGTTCTTCAGCTTCTTTTCTTTCATCTGTTCTAGCTTGCTTGCATGTGATCTTAACTTGCTGATCTTATTTTCCAGTCTTCCATTTTTGTGGTGCACTGTTTATTTTTCTTCTTTGTTGATTTTGCACCCCAGGTATTCAGTTATAACTGCAGCTGTGCTGTACATTAGTTGATTTGTTTCTTGCAGTGAATTGGTGCTTATACTTGATATTGCAGTATTTGCATCTTTTAAGTCTTGTGCTAGCTGTTTCTTTGGAACAAGCTTCAATGCAGGCAGCCTTAGTCTGTTGTTTTTGTGCTGTTCTAGATGCTCAGTTATTCTTTGTTTCAATTCTTTTCTTTAGCTAGAGGGTTTTGTTCTTCCTGAGGAAGAGATGCCTGGTTTCCAAATGAGAACAGTTGTATATCTCTGCTGGATTCCTTCACTGCCAACTCCCTCTGGTTTGCCTCTACATTCTGAATTACTTCTGGCAAGGCTTTGATTTCTTTGCCCTGGGTAAATCTTTGCAGTTCGTCCAATTCTGTTTCTGTGAATACTTTATTTCATATTATAAATCAGTGTTGATCAGCTAGTCTCTGTTCTGTTATTTCTGATTCTGGATGGTGTTCTTTCCAGAACTGGTGCATTCGTTTTAGATATCCTCTTCTTGTTGGACTTGATCTGTAATAACAGATCATTATTTCTTTGTTTTCAATCACTGTATTTGCAACGGATAAACACCTTTTCTTCCAGTAGTTCTGCAGCTGCTGGCCCTGGTTGCTCAGCCCACAATCCTGAGTCCTGTAGCCCATTTTTCACCATGTATCCAGGAACTCCAACATCTTGCGCGGACCTTGTTAACCCGGGTAACATCCGAGCCGGTATGGCTTTCTGAAATTTACGTCTCACCATATTTTTTATGGGAGAGACACTCTTTGTCTGACTTCTCTGATGAGACCTGTCCAGTATGGTTGAACCTCTGGCATAGCTCTCATCTTCCTCAGAGTACACAAGCCCCACAACCACGTCAGAGTAGTGCCTCACTGGGGGATTATTATTATTATTGTTGTTGTTGTTGTTGTTATTATTTTTTAAACAAATTTTATTGTTTTTTTTAATTCTTAAGGCAACATATTCAGGACACACCGTGGTGCTGGGGTAATCAAACATCTTAAAACAAGACATATATACATAATATAATCAATACATCAAATATTCCCTTTCTTTTTCCCTCAAATAGCATAGTATATTTGGAATATCCAATTCTAGCTTAAATTTATTCAACCTGAACCTGTCTTCAAGCTTCATGAATTTCTAGCATAATCAAATTAACTTTAAATAAAAACATTTTCAACTCAAATATCCCTTCCACATATATTCTACTTTCTTAATTTTATCAAAATCTTATTTATTTCTTCTTCCATTAATCTCCCTTATTTAGAGTAAAATATTAATCTATCCTGTACCTATCAAATCTATCAATTGATCTAACTCTTCAAGTTAAGAAAAATAATATCATACCTAAAATCATGTCATTTCATTAAACAAAATTCAAATCTCCAATTAAATATCATGACTAATAACATCCATATCATCAAAAATCATATCTTATTAAATTCAATTAACTATTAGTTCACTTCAAATCTGAGACATCTCTTCAATTTTCGTCATTCCATTACATCGTAATTTTCATAGAAATAAAAGTAACATTCTAAAAAGAACATTCCTAGTATTCTAATTTGTGTTTAATCCCTTATATAGAAAGATATCTCATTTTTAAACAAAAATATTAATCTATCCTAGACACTTCTAAATATATGTATTTATCAGACTATTCTATAGATATCTAATCCTTCACTTGATCAATCTCTTTAAGATAACAAATTAATATCAAACCTTACATCATTTCAATCCTTTAAGTAGAATTTAAATTTCACACGTTATAAGACAAACAAGTCATCTTATTTAATTAACATTGAATTAATTATTGATTCACTCCAACTCTAAGACATCTTTTTACTTCATACTCAAAATCTCAGTCCTTACATCAGTCCATAGTTCTAGGTTGCCTTTAATCCAATTTAAGAAATTTTAAATTTCATTTTTCAATCTTATTCTAGCTTTTCTCTTTTGCCAGGTAGGTTTCCATAAAAGAGCTTCCCTTCCAGATAATAGGT